TTGGTCCCAATGGAATTTCCCATTGGGAACCTGCTAGCACTAAGATGCTAACTGGTTAGCAAGATGCTTCCCACAAACCTGCTTGTAAACCTTTCACCACAACAATCCCGCCCCCTTGATAATCGACCAATCACATTCACTTTATTCACTCGTGTAAAGTCGGGCTCCGATCGGGAGAATCCGGAAATGCGACGGTTTGAACGGCCGCTTCCCTACGACTTTATATTCTGTTACATCAGATGGAAAGAAAAGGAAGATTTCAGGTTTCTTGTTTTTATGCCTAAACCCTGCAAACACTTATCTGACTTCAGCTAAATGCTCTAATCTGCCAGTGGAATGATAATTTAAGCCCTTAAAATAAGATCATTAGAGATTTAGCTTTTTTTAGTTCTAACTTTTAATGTAAATCATAGTTTTCATTCCAAATTGTTCTACCTATCTGCTTAAATCAACAGAAAAAATAGATTTGAAGGGGCATTGACTGTATTTTAAATGCTTTCTAATGAAGCCTCCAGGTTTCCATTAACGAAGCTGTTTATTTCATGTGGTTTGACAGGAATGCGTTTAAACGGACCTTCTTCGGACAAGCATGAGGAGAAAATGAGACGCGACTTGGCGGTCCGACCAGCAGAAGCTGCTCTTAGCGAAGAACACACCAAATACATAACGGGTACGGATCATTTTATTTTATTCTGCTTTAATCCAGCATCAGCTGCTGGATTACAGAGGCACCGATTCATTCATGTCGGCTTTGACCCCCGATAGTGAGCAAAATCTAGATCAAAATCAATCCATAGGAACAGATCTATTTAGTCTGCTTCTATTTAAGTTTGATAAAAATCTTTTTGAACAATTGGGATTCATCCTTCAACTTGATTTACTGTTGGTTCCTTTTCCCTCGTCTATCTAAAGCTGCCTCTGTATGGAGTGAATTCTGTTCCATTATTGTTGGTTAAAAAAAAAAACATTTGTAAATGGAATTTTTTTTAAATTGTTATCAAGAAATTAAACTTTTGAAAACGACTTAATCAGAAAAAATCTTTGCAGATGAACATTTCATCCACATGATTGATAATGTTTACTTGAAAGGAATGTTATCACCGTCCACTAGAGGGCACCACTGTTAAACTAGAGCAGATACTCTTATTTTAAAGAGATGGAGTGATGCTGGAGCAGAACCATGAATGGATCCAGAGTCCGGTCCCGATTGTTTCCTCTGTTTAATGGATCCAAGGATCCAGAATGAACTTCCTGCGGTTCTGTTAGTAAAAATAAACTCCTTCATTTCTCCCAAATGGACCCATTTAGCGGCTTATATTATTTCTAAGAGCATTAAAAAGCATTAGAGTTCCTCCTTCCTGTATAAACCCTGGATGGAGGAGCAGCAGAAGGAGAGGATGATGGAAAAGTGGAAACGGTTGGAACAGGATAGAACGGGGGTCGGCAACCCACGGTTCCCTGGAGCTTTTTTTTTAAAGGGAAAAAGATGAATTTTTTCTTTTAATATAGTCTGTAGGAGGAAAAACAAAGTTTCTATGTTCCCCAGTGCTGTAA